AGGAGTGTGCTACTGCAAATACAGCTGTTGATGCTGATGATGGAAGATGAGGATCTTGGGAGCAGAAGAGAGAGAATATTTCTCTTTCGACTGGAAGTGTTCGAGCACGAGTGTTTGATCGCTTCTTGTTTGACACACCATTTACAAAAAATGGTAAGACCCAAGGTGGATTAGAAGATCAATGGAAGAGAAGAACAGTGCTGCAGACTGAGGGTTCATTCCCTGCGCTTGTGAATAGGCTGTTGGTTACCAAGTCTGAATCCCTTGAATTCTCGCCAGTGGAGAATGCGATTGGAATGATTGAAACGCGGACAACTGCTCTGAGAAATGAGCTAGAGGAGCCTCGTAGCTCGGATGGGGATCACCTACCACGGCTTCAAAGTCTGCAGAGGATTCTCCAAGGAAGTGTTGCAGTGCAGGTGGGTTTTCTCCCATAATACCTGTTATAGATTGTGTTGTAAAACGTAGAATATGCTTATCGTGTGCCTTTCCATGAAATATGCAGGTGAACAGTGGGGTGTTGAGCGTGTGCACAGCATTCTTATCAGGAGAGCCTGCAACTAGATTGCGTTCGCAGGAACTGCAGCAACTGATCGCGGCACTGCTTGAATTCATGGCGGTTTGTAAGCGAGCCATTAGGGTTCACTTTAGATTAATCGGAGAAGAAGATCAGGAATTCCATACTCAGCTTGTCAATGGATTTCAGTCTCTCACCGCTGAACTCTCCCATTACATCCCTGCTATCTTGTCCGAACTTTAGTGTATCTTTGTCAGTTTTTGCTACGAATTTTGTGCTTTTTTCTTCCACCATTTGGCTTGGGTATATGTTTGTCATTTCTGTAATTCTTAGTTTAATGACAACAAATGAGAGAAATTTTTTTAATGACAATTGTTTGACTTCTAATTCAGAAGCTTATGTTATATTCGATCGTGGAAATGAGCTCCCAGCTTCAAACACAAGCCACTCAACTATTTAGGATGCCTCCGACATCTCAGAGACATTGTAACACCCGCGTCCCGCGATCCTAAAGGGGGCCGGTTTGTTTTAGGGAAAACTAGATCATGGTCGAGAAAGACCAATGAATAAGTTAACCCAAGGAAGGAATGAAACGTTTAAGTCATGAAAGGGGTAGATGACTTAGACGGTTCCGGGATAATCTAGTGATCATGGAGAAATGATCATGGAAAGATTAGGAATAGTGAAGTCAAGGCCGAGAAACGGACCGAAAGACTTAGACGGAAAAAAACGGACAAAAGAGTTCGAGTTAATCCAGCTAGGTGAGCTGGACAAGCTGGACGAACTAACTAGCTCAGCTAGGTGAGCTAAACCAGCTGGAGGACTAGCTAGCTCAGCTAGGTGAGCTGACCGACAGCTCAACCGAGCTTGGTGAACTGATCGAGTACTGACCCAGCTAGGTGGTCCGGTCAGCTAACACTCGAGCTGGTGGACTGTGGTAGCTCGGGGATGAAGAGGTGTAAGGTCGAGCGGTTACCGACGAACGGTTACCGTTAGCCAAAGGGTGGATAAGGCCGAGCGGTTACGATCGGAAAGATGCAACCCTTCGGAAGGGTGCAAGGAACGGATGTGCTTCTTCGGGAAGGCACCCATTCGGCCCTATATAAGGGGTGGACGTCCAAAGGACTTCACAATCATCCTAACACACTTTACAATCACAAACACAATCCAAAAATAGTCCTAAACATGCCACGAAGTTGTTGGTCGGAAAGGGGGTGCGGCTCAGCGAGTATCTCTGGAATCAGAACGGATTCTCGGAGCCTTGACCGAACTGATGTGCATGCTACCTCCCGATCCAACGGTTCGATGGAATGTTTGGATGGATTGATCGGACCGATCGTCGGAGAGACGAATCGGAACAGATGGATCGTTCGTCGGTGAGACGGGTCGGATCGTGTAAGATGGTCGGGTCGACCGAATGATCAGATCGTGGTATCGATCGATGGATCGGATCGATGGAACGACAATTCGATTAAGGAGTTGGATGGACGGATAGTTCGACGACTTGATTGATGGTTCGGATCGATAGCTCGATTATGGGATCGATGGATCGTCCGTTCCATAAATCATATCGTCGAGGAAAGGACACGAAAAGGAAATGGATCGACAAATCTAAGATTGTCAATATGGAAGTATTGACGAATCTAAAGATAGACCGATAGATGATATGGTTAACGGGATGTTAATCGGGAAGGCGTATAAGGGAAAGGTGTTCGAAGAAGCACGGGGATAAGTGCAACCGAACACACCCAAGGGTCGCCCATGGATGCAATCTCACCGGTAAAGGGAGTAAGCACCCAGAATGGGTAAGTGACGTGGTTCACCATGTAAGGATCTAATATCGCGGCCGCCTTTATGTATCAATCGCCATGGCCAATGGTGAAACCGATTAGGAATCGGTAAGACCAATGGTGACTCGATGGATAACCAATGGGAAAGTCCACAGTGAGAACCGGTGGATAAAACGGATGTTGGACCCACAAGCAAACCAAAGGCCGATGGACGAATGATTTCATTGGCTAGCCTACGATAATGCGATGGATGAATCCACGGACCCTTGGGTGTGATAAAGATATTGTTCGGATCGCATGGATGGATCGGTAAGCCGAAGGCTTTACCGACCACCATGGACCAGACGGTGAAACGGTTAATAAACCGTAGGCGGTCGTAGTGATAAACGACCGGATCGGAAACATGGATGGTTTGATAAGCCGAGGGCTTGATCTTCCACCATGAAACCGAAGGGGCGTATGTTTGGAGGACGGATGAACCAATGAGCCGAGAGCTTGATTCGGCCACCGTGAACCAAGGGAAACATACGATCCCCAATCTCTATCGTAGGGACTTAGACCAGTGGGGTTGGTTGGATGTATGGCTAAGTAACGATAGAGATTGGTCCATCAATACACGATTGATTAAGAATCGTTGTACGAATGGAACAAGGTGACGAAAGGGCTAAGAGAAGGATCAATGGATGGATCGAAGAGGAATCCAATCCGCATGTAGGCCAAGGTATGTAAACGAATCTAACTTATTAGTTAAGATAGACGTTTGGGAATTGGCCGTTGGATTAAGGATAAAGGAATATGCAATCGTTAGACTTAGAATGGTTAGCGAACCAATTGCATGTCTTGGCCGAGTTAATGAATGATCTAAAGTCTAAGGGACAAAGACGATCAAACCGGTACAAGGGATGGTTGGAATTAAACCAAGGGTAGAAAGACTTCCGCTGTGTTAAGAGATAAGGATTATAGAATTAAGCCTCGTAAAGGCAATTTTATGTTAAATCGTGAAAAATATGGAGGTTCGGCCGGGAGGAGGTACGAACGTGCGTCAATGGTCGCCAGACGCCGAGACGTCCGGGACGGGACCCTACAAGTTGGTATCAGAGCATGTTTGATCCTAGGATGGATAAGTGCTCGGGAAAATGTCATGGTAAATAATTACTAAAGGTGTAACTTAAATGATTGAGTCCTCGGGAAACCGAATTATGAACTTGAACATTAGTGTTGGTGAGCCGGAAGGGAATTGAGGCAAGAACGCGATTACATACTTGAAAACCAAGAGAGTTTGCCAAGATGAATTGGTTAAGCCAAGATGATTACCCAAGGGGCAAGAACTACACGTGTATCAAGTGAATAATTATTCGGAGAGAAGGGCTGATCATAAAGTTGAAAAGGTTAAGCTAAGTGTTTGGCGGATAAGGAAGTTGAGGTGAATGAGATTTATGTGCTTGAGGAAAGGTTACCCAAGGCATGATCGGGCACCAAGATACGAGCCTTGTAGTCAAATGACTTAACATAACGGGGAAAAAGGTATTGATATATTCGGAGAATGACCAAGATCAATGGAAATAAGATCTCGTCGGAATTTGACGAAGATCGGGAGACACTTGATCTATTCGGAGATTGAAAAGATCAAGGGGTACTGACCGAGTCCGGAAAAGACCAAGGTCGGGAATTATTGACCGAGTCTGGTAAGGGACCAAGGTCAGGAATTATTGACCAAGTCCGGTAAGGGACCAAGGTCGGGAATTATAGACCGAGTCCGGTGGGGACCAAGGTCGGGAAAAGTGACCGAGTCCGTATAGGACCAAAGTTGGGAAATATTGACCGAGTCTGGTTTGGACCAAGGTCGAAAATTAGTTCTAGTCGGGATTGAACTAGAATGGGAAACATTTGATCGCGTTCGGGAAATGGAACAAGATCGGGAAAATAGATCGAGTCCGGTAAATGGACCAAGATCTAAGAAAATGGATCGAGTCCGGTAAATGGACCAAGATCGGGAAAATAGATCGAGTCCGGGAAAGGACTAAGATCGGAAAAATGGATCAAGTCCGAGAGAGGACCAAGATCGGGAAACTTGATCAAACTCGGAAATAGATATTTGATCAATTATGGAATCTAAAGTCTTGGGAAGACTAAAGATGGGAAAACGTTAAGGAGTAACTCTAACACCCGCCGAATTCGAGGACGAATTCATTTTAAGGGGAGTAGACTTGTAACACCCGCGTCCCGTGATCCTAAAGGGGGTTGGTTTGTTTTAGGGAAAACTAGATTATGGTCGAGAAAGACCAATGAATAAGTTAACCCAAGGAAGGAATGAAACGTTTAAGTCATGAAAGGGGTAGATGACTTAGACGGTTCCGGGATAATCTAGTGATCATGGAGAAATGATCATGGAAAGATTAGGAATAGCGAAGTCAAGGCCGAGAAACGGACCGAAAGACTTAGCCGGAAAAAAACGGACATTCAAAGCTTCCGTGTCGACTCTAATTCCTGGTAGGAGACACGTGTGT